CAGCGAGCCAAAAATGAGCAGAGGTGAGTCGTGGGCACCCATAGGCAGGCAGACCGCCTCCCCCCCCATCATCATTGCTTTCCAGGACTGCAATGCTGTTCATTATGGTGCCATTGGAATGTGCCGTCAGCAGAATTTTTAATGCAAAGTGGGCAAAAATACAACGCTTCCTGCCCATACAGTCAATTGATTTTCTATTCTTTCTGTGCACCGACTCATCATCGACGTTTATCTCTTTCTAATGGGTGTATACAAGGCTGTCCACGGTATATGGGGCCTTATGAATGTGCATGCCGGTAACTGTAGGGTTTGTTTATGTGGGTTATGTAAGTTCAAGTAATTGTGTTTATGCTTCTCACTGTGTGTTCACAAAGAACACTGATCTGTGGAGTGCTTTTTGACAGGAGGCATTTACAAGCTGTCTGTGCTCTTGCCGACCATTATGCCAATAAGAGCCATGTAGCATGGCATTGATCCACTTGGTGTTTTTACCCTCTTTAAAGGTGCATGCCCAGAGAGGAAAAAAACCCAACAGGAAAACACACATTTCAACCTGTCTGTCTTCAAGGGGACAATAAATCTTCTTCAAACTGCACTTAAAGGCAATGAGGGGAAACGCAAACAAGTACAAACGAGAGCAAGTACACCCTCTTGTGCTTTAACGCTATGGATGCTTCGCACATGAAGGCTCCTCAGAGTTTCCCAAGTAGCCATGCAGATAATGTGAAGTCTCTGAGACATCTTTGGGTATTTACCTGTTTATTGAAGGGCAGATAAAGGAAGTCACTGTTCAGGCTAGGGTTCATGAAATTGTTTAACACCACTTGCATTTGTCAGGTTTCGACCTGCCATTTGTTCGTCTATTGGCTGCGTGGGAGGGAAAAAAATGGTCCATCTCTCATTCAGGGGAAGAGGCCTGACTGCCTAGCAGGGACTAATGTGTCACCGCTGATTGATTTGAGTCATGAAGTGGGGGAGAGAGAGGAAAGAGAAGAAAGCGGAGCATCGTGGGGGTTTCTGCGCTGCTGTTTCATCATCTCTCTGATCCTCTGACGTCCGCCCCTTCTCTTTCGTCCACTGCAGCCCTCCATCCCTCCATTTCCTTACATGGCTCCAGGCAGTTGCTGAAAGCAGGCACATCTCACCTTGCTTTCATTGCAGCACCTGCCTGGCCTTACAAACAGGCAAGAAAAATAGAATAGAATGGAGCTCAAGACTCTGCAAATAGGCTTCATTCTTCTACAGATGACCAAGGACACGAGCTGCTGGGCTATTGAGAGGCTGTATCAGAAATTGTGCACCCAAACAATTTCTCTCTGATAAAAGGCTGTGCAGCAGGTGCATGCTTCCCTATGTACAATATAACATTTACTCTTACTTAAATGGAGGACGGGAGAGGAAATTAGCGTCTGTGCTACAGCAAGGCATCAGGGGCTGAAATGAATTATGTCATTGCATCAGTAGGGGCAGGCGAAGACAGAAAAATGTGCACATTTAAGCAGTGCAATTAGGCAAATGTAAAGAACGATGTTTCATGAAATACAGACTTGGTTCAAGTCATAAATCATGCCCACTTGTATAGGTAATATATCCTAGAGTGCAAAATGTGTAAAATCACATTTGACCTGTGAAACACCAGCCTGTGGATAGGTCTTCCCCTGGGCGAATTAATTTGGCCAAAAAAGATAATTCACATCTAGCTTGTTTACAAAAGCTGTTTTCAGATGTGAATACCAGAAAAAGTCCACACACATTTTCCAGAGTTTGTCACATATGAAGAATGCAGGATTTTTAGCTCAGAAAACTACAGAGCATTCAGGTGAGGGGTGATGCAGGACACAGGATGAAATGAATTCACCATCTTAAGCCTTCTTTTAGTTTTGTCTCCATTACGTAATGTCATCAACATGACCACTTGCTAGCAGTGAATCCTCAGGAGGAGAGATTTTTCTAGGGGGCTGTAGGGAGAAACTCCAGAGAAAGTCCAGAGCCTCTCAGTCAGACATTTGCGTACTCACATACAGCCCCTTGGGGGAATGTCAGCAGATTATCAGGAGTTCAGTGCAGGTCTGAAAACAGCTGAAGATAAAGAGAGCAAGAAAGCAAACCTTCCATAAGATTCACTTGTTTTCGTGGTCCAACGTTTGCACGCTGTTACTCGTGTGGAATGAAAACACACGTTCATATTTTCACACATGCAGACTTGTGGAAACTGCTCTCAGTAGGAGAGGGGTGAGGGGGCACGCTGCTGTGCATAGCCTCCTTAACGAATGTGTCTTCACGTGCTGATCCTCAGGGATTTGCTCCTGCCTTCATATGGGCGAGCAGGGTTGAATCTACATACCAGCAGTGGGGGGTAGAAACAGAAAAAGAGGGATAGAGGGGTGGATCTGCATCAATTAAGACTGTAGCGGGGGTATTTTCTGTTTCAAATCTTTAATTGGATGCATTACTGTTCCTCTTTGTGGTCCACTGTGTGTGTGTGTTTGTGTGTGTGTGTGTGTGTGTGCATGCAACCGGTGTTTGCACGGAGAGGAAGAGATTCTTGATGGATGGAAGGAGAGTGAGTGTAAAACGAGAGCACAAGAGAGAAAAAGATGTATGTATATGATAAGCACAGCTGACATCAGGACCCCAATTAGAGGCCAGTGCGCCTCGTTTCTACAGGCGGAGCGAGCCGGGGCAAGAGAGCAGCAAAGAGAGGAAGAGCGAGAGAGTAATTAAGGTACGGCATGTAGAACCTTGGTTTATGTTCTCAAGAGTTGGCATCTGTGAATACATTTGACAACATACACTGCATGTGAACGATTACCAAGGCACTGACACGCAAGAGAGGGCACGATGCAAAAAAAGTCACCATTCAAAACGGAGAAATCCAAAATGTGTGGGAGGAGGAAATAGCACTTACACTTCCTTGAGCCCTGATATCTGTTTATTTCATCAACTAATTTATTCGGAAGGTACAACTACAATAATTCTCTATTTCACTTCTTAAAAATGCAACACACTAGCTGCTTGAATGGTTTTGATCTGTCAATATTGTACATGCCCAAACAATAGATAAAATTAGCACTTAAGCAATTTGTCCATGAATCAATTTGTCCCGAAGTCATAAAGCTAATCAGTTGTATTTAATGATTACAGCTGTTATTATTTACTAAGCACAGAATTCTGCTTAGTGTCAGATTTAATGGACCGCAAATGGAAAATCTTTGTGTTTTACACATCTGAACAATGATGAATTATTCCCAGGGAAAAACGCTCTATCTCACAATGTTAAAGAAAGTGAAAATATCCTGGAACCACACCAAAATGTTATCTTTTCTGATCTGTACTGCATCCTTCCACCAAGTTTCATGGAAATCCGCTCTGTTGTTTTCATGTAATCTTGCTTACAAGCAAAAAACTGAACAGGGGTGAAAAAACATAACCTCCTTGGTGGAGGTTATCAGCCACCAGGAACAATTAAACTGACTTTAATGTTTGTTTCCTGTGTTTGTATGTTTCTTAGTCTACTGGCCCCCTTCACAGTAATCTGTATTTATGATGAAAAAAAACAATCATGCTTGTACAATTAAATTAGTTCCATATAGATTATCATCCTCCATACCTTTGTGTTTTATCTTAGTGCCATTCCTCCTGTCTGCAGCTATCAGAGCCAGTCACTGTGCTCACACACAGCACAGCTAAACTGCCATCTGCTTTATTGACAGCCCATGATGATGCTCTATAACTTTATGGGCTTGTGTATACTAAAGGGGGTTGTGAGTGTGTGTGTGTGTGTGTGTGAGTAGGTAAGACAGAGCGAGTGACAGAATGGAGAAAGACAGATACAAATTGGGGTGAAGTACCAAGTGAAGAGAAAGACAGAGATTCAATGCAAGAATACAATGTGACTTAGCTGCTGTTCATCTGACCAATATCCCTTTAACAGCTCTAAGCTCTCAACCCTACTGTGGTTATAACTGCGCTGTGCACATACAAAGACAAAAAAACCTTTATGGTTATTTTAATTTAATAAGCCCCAAAGCAAGCTATGGACAGCCTGACAGAGAAAATGGTCCAATTACTAGTAACACACAGTGCATTTAGAGCTCTGAAGATCTGAGAGTCTGAGGGGGATTGGAGAGAAAATACAGAAATTCAATCATTTCAGTTCTATCCTCCATTCACGGTTGCTTTGTTTTCATTTAATGCAGCGTCTGCTTGCCAGTGATTTTCAGTCAGGAGCTGTGACAAAAGCCAGGTGGGGCACGTTCAATAGCAGCATTCATACGTCGGTGCATTGTTTCTGCAGCGCTGACATTGACCAGTGAAAATGTCTGTCAACAGCAAAATGTCACCGTCTTCAACTCAGTCGGGGAAGCAGGTGGGTGGATAAAAGCAAGCCAGCCCCATCAGTAGTCTTTAAACAGACGCTAGCATGGGTGTACGCTAAAAGCCAAAAAAAATAAACTAGACATGTTCTCAACAAACAAACAGCGTGAGACAGACGGGAAGAAAAGAAATGATTCACACTCTCTGACCTGAAACAGCAACTAAACCAGAGTTGTATTTCCTGTGTTTACCCTTCTTTTCATAGTACCTCCATCTACCCTTTTAACTTTTGTCTGCCTCCTTCCCATCGCAAAACAGCCATAATGTTCTGACTGTCGATGCCATTCTGCCTAAACACCTCCCTCGCTCTTCCTACTTCACTTTCAGCCATGTCCTCAAGTCTTTTTTCAACTTTCTTATTCCCTCTATCTTGCCTCTTTTGCCTCCAACCTCTATTTACGTAAATAGATTAATATGTATGTCAATAAAACAGCTCTATGTGAGCTGGAGCAGCCTGTAAGGCAGAGGCCTATTATTTCTTGTCTACTGCATCAAGCAGATACATGTGAGGTTTGTTCTGTTTTGCAGCACTTCAACATATGGAAACATAAATCAGAAAGTGCCATATAACCTGTTTCCTCCACCTCCCTTATCGCCATCTGGTCTGATTATTTACAATATAAAAGGTGAACGTACTGACACAAAGCAGATGCTTAAAGAGAGATCGGGCTGCACTCACCTCTTTGCACCAGCATGGTGACCTCTTTGCCTTTAGGACACTTGCTGAGCATGTCGACCACCTGGTTGTGAGACATGCTCTGCACGTTTCTCTTGTTCACCTCCACGATGATGTCCCCCTCCTTGAGGCCACGGCAGCGAGGGTAGTCCACGATCTGCTTCACCCTCTGCCCCCCTCCTCCAGGACTGTCAGCGATGGTGAAGCCGAAGCCCTTGTCTCCTTTCTCCATGTGTACGGTGATGAGCTCCGGTTGCGTAGCGATGGATGAGGCCAGAGTGACCACGTCGCTGGGGTAGCCATGCTGGGAGGAGGTATCGGAGGCCACCTCAGCTGAAGGGCTGTGGGATCGCGGTAGGCCATTGAGGGGTGCACCGCCGTTGGTCGAGACGTTGTTGTTCTGACTGCCGTGGCTAGATGGGGAGTCGTAGCTTTTTGGGGCCTCCTGGCCGTTGACGATGATGGGATCTTTGTTTTCAAGAATAGCCACTGAGGTAACCAGGCTGGTGTTGGGATCATCGGGATCAAAGGGGAGTGGGTAGCCACGGCACAGCTCCAAGTTGACCATGGAGCCAATGGGGATGGACTGGAAGATCTTTACAACTTGGGCATGGGTGTAGCCAAGTACACATGTATCGTTGACGCTCACGATTACATCACCTTAGAGGAGGAAGGACAAGTTTAGTAAAGCATTATCTGTATTCTGCCAAAGTTTCACTAAGCAGTCCTTTTCTTGGTAAACTTTAAATTCAGTACACCCACCTGTCTCCATCTTGCCATCGAGTGCTGCAGGCCCATCTAGGACGAGGCTCTTTATCTGCAGGAACTCGTCCGGCTCGTCGCCTCCTACGACAGTGAAGCCGAACCCCCGACGACTCTTTTTCAGCTTGGTATTGATGAAAGTCCCCTTCAGCTCGGATCGGTTCCGAGTAAAGAAAGGTTTCCCTCCTGAACACACAGACACAGATCATTAACTTTAGACTGGTAGACAGATGTAACAGAGCAAACTGAGTTAGAAGCTCTGGATTCTGTTTGTTCAATACCGTCATTAATCAAAACATTTACGTTTCATTGTCTGTGCCCAATGCAACTCAATTAAGTAAGAGTAAGGTAATGGCTACGGGCCATTATATAGTGATCGCTCAGATGACACAACATGACTCACAATGGATTAGAAGGTAATCTGAAACACTAGAAGAAAATGGAGGTAATCCCTTGTGTAAAATCCCAATCAATCCTACCCATTCAGGGCCAAGTTTTCTGGGCTTCAGCCACTGCTAACCTTAATCAATGATACTGGCTCTCTTGTTAGGACTGTTATTAGTAGTGGTTCTATTTGGCATCTACATTTAAACTTAATGGTACTACTGGCCGGAAATTCTTTGTAAGATGCTTGTAGAGGATACTGTACTGATTAAGGTAATATTGATCCTTTAAAAGTGCATAAGTCAAAAGCAGGGTTCAAAACAGCAATCAATTCTCCAAAGAGGACACAAAGTATAAATACAAAAAAAACCCATGATGCTGCAAATTAAATTATACTATTTTCTATTGTCACCTTTACTTAGACGAGTTTTCAACCAAGTTGACATACATATGCACATAAGAGATGGTTCTGCATTGATAACTAGCTGCCGATTTTATTCAACACTGGTTGCGAAGGTTTAATTAACAGATTTCTCCATTAAACACATTTCAGAGTGCTGTAAAGCCATGAGAAGTACTCAGACAGGGCAATCCAAACCCAATTACTCAGCCTCCCTTCCTTTCTTCTTGCTTTTTTCCTACCTCATTATGTATCATTAAGAATACTAGCAAGAGAGATAGGAGATGTTATCACTCTAAATCGAAAAAAAAAGGAGTGGGGTATTCACCACTGCGAGTGAGACGAATCAGGAATTGAATACATGGAAGAGGAGCCACATACACACAGAAAATTATTTCACATAAATGAGTTCATACTTCACAAAAATGAATGAGTTGTTGATTGAGGTGAAGGGAAGACGCAGGCAGAACAAAGATAAGAGGAAGAAGGGGGTGAAGAAGAAGGGACCACAGAGGAATGTGTTTGGTGACCCGCTAGACCACATTAGGTGATGGCAGCGCTACAGTTTATGCATTCAATGAAACATGCATTACCACTGGACTCAGATGGTGTCCTTGTGTTTTTGTAGTTTTGTGCATTGTGTGTGTGTGTGTGTGTGTGTGTGTGTGTGTGCGTGTGTGTGTGTGTGCAGCGCCTTTGAATAGCATTTTTCATAACAGGCGAGATGCAACAAAACTGCAAGCTGAAATGGCAGCTTTATCCGCCAGGGATCCACAGATGTAAGAACAGACCAGGAAGCAGGAGAAACATGAAAGCCAAAGAGTGAGATAAAGAGATTTCAAATGATGACTTTCTCTGGAGGAATGTCAAGGCCCTGGACTGCACAGAACAGTAAAGTCAGGAGGTGGGGAGAGACAGAGATAGACAAAGATGGAAAAGATGAAGAGATGGACAGAACCAACAATTGAATCAAAGCAGAGAGAGAGGTGGGGGGGAGAAAAAAAGACAAAAGACAGCAAGACGGCCAATGTGAGCTATAAAATAGAGAGATCGATGAGGTAGAAAGGAAAAGGCAGCTGATAGAGCAACGAGGGAGAGTAAGAGGGGGAGACAGGGTGAGGCAGTTAATTCTCTGGCATGGCTGCGCTAATTAGACGAGCTGCTCGTGGGAGGCTGGTATAAAAGGAGCTGGCAACAAGGAGAAGAAGAAAAAAACACAGTAACGGCGAGACACTGTGTCTGTAGGTGTGAGCGCTGGTATATGACGGGTGAAATCAGGCCATTATTTGATCCGAAAATTGGAACAACATGAGAGAGGTTCCAAGAGAATCAGCATGTGGCCACAGTAAACACAGAGGGAGCACATATTTAAAATAAAACCGCGCCGGGCACCATCACATCCAGTGTGTTGGTACAAAAATACAAACATGGCCTTAAGTGCTCTGTTGGAAAAAAAAAGTCTACAGTACATAACCAGTGAGTTGAATTCTACTTTACTTATTATGAATATATAATGAAACGTATACAGGGAGCTGCTTTACAATGTCAATTCTTAACTGGTCTTCCATCATGAAAACTCAAACATGGCCTGAGGCAACAGCTCAAGAAAACACACTTCATTGTACGAGCTGAATTTGGTTTGACTCGTAATAAGTCCCTCTGGGCAGCACGGCACAGAAACAGCAAAGTAATGAATAATTCTATGTTCACATGGTTTTCAGGCTTATAGTGTATAGATGCAAACCATACGTTTTTGTCCCATGGCGTTGGGGACTGTGGGTGCTGTCTGAGGGTCCCTGTAGGTCTCCTGGTGGTTGGCAGCATAGCTGGCCAGAGGGGCACCGGCCAATGTCGAGTCCTCGATCCATTCTGCAACAGCAAAAGGCACATGTTCTCTGGTTCGGGTCTAGACAGGTGCATAGCTGCCCTACTTGTGGAAGCAACCAGGGCTAAGGACTCTGGGACACGGTGGCCTACTGTGCTGCGTGTTTGGGACAAAGCCAGTCAGCGTCATTTGAAGCTAGAGATGCAAATGGAGCTTAAAATTTTCTGTGTCAGATATACGCCCTAAGTTCTAAAAACCTACAGCGAGCAAGAAGTGGATATTGTTCAAAACGCTCAACTACCCACAGATCATGTAAGACCAACATAGTTTCACTTCTAATGAGAGTAAGAGTAAACGCAGGTTGAATTGGTCACATAAACTTCACTAAGCGTTTTAACACTGTTTCATGTCGCCCAAAAAACAAAAGAAGGTGTGTGGAAATAGAGGAACCCATTAATTCATAATGGCCACCTTCTTTGATAAATCACCTTGTTGCAGCATCACGGCACCGATCGCACTGCAGCCTTCATTTATATTCTTAACAGTGAGGTGGAATCAATGCAGAGGTGAAAAAATGGTAAAAACCCTGCTTGAAGGTATTGAGTTATTCCTTTTTTTTTTTAAAGAGAGACGGAGGAGAAAAGTCAGCAGGTAATCGAGCGGAATCAAATGATTTCTGCTGAATGTGCAGAAGCTGGAGCATGATAGGAGAATCCCCTTGTGGGCTGGCCTGCATTTACAATTAATCTCTCTGCGGGATGTCTGTGAATGAATTTGAGACAGGAAGCAGGAGTGGGTTAAGAGCCCCTTTTAGACAGCCTGTTACAGGCGGGAATGTTACACCTTTATTCGTCCTCGCCATTTGGTATAAAAAGTTCAAATACTGAATGGGTGGAGAACTGCTGTTCATGGATCCATCTCAACATCTGTATTAACATAAAAAGCTGATTTGGCAATGGGTTCAGTGTGTTGGCAGTGTTTATTTCAGTGTAAACAAAATAAACCTGGCATAATAGTCTTTACAGCAATAAAGTGGGGTCTCTATTTTTATAAAGCCCCTTTTCCACTGGTCAAAAAACCTGCAAACATCCACTACTTCACTTTGCATTTAGTCAAATGACTCTGCAGTAGACATTGGTTTTATTGAAACATGACACCCAGGTGAACACGCTAATTTCTTCTTTATTTTGCTAGTGTGGATGCTGACGCTGCACCTTACTGGCAATGGGGAAGGAATCAATTCCCTTTTTAAGAGGGTTTACTCGCATTTATAAAAGCTGTGTCTAAGGCAGGGGCCGTCACAAGCTGTTAAAGAGGTATAGGGACTGACTAAGGTTGAGTTTCGTAGCAAGAGACTTCTTAGGGAAAGCGACAATATTAGTTTTGTTAATGTCAACACACTCCTTTTTAAAAGGACAGAAATCAGAAAGAAAAGAAGACTCTTTAGCGGGCAAAGCATTTTCAGTTGCAGCGAAACTTACCTGTTTTCTCCTTGGGGAGAAAAAGCTTTTAAAGTTATTACCACAAACAAGTATCAGAAGACAGCACAGAAAACAGAAATCAACCTCAAAAAGGCTGCGCGGTACAGCCGCAAATAATAGTTATGCCTTTATGGAAGAGCACTTAGCAAATCATAGGCAGTAGCAGGCAACATCAAGTCATACTGTAGCAGTAATTGGAATAAAGACAAACACAGTCTCTCGGTCTCATACAGACACATATGCAGACGACTCAGTCACACACATGAACAGAAAGAAAGGAAATGACGCCCTTAGCGGGGGCTTGTGAACAAACCTCGGATGTAGCGCTCACCTTCAGGTGGCTGCTGGCTTTGCGGCAGAGGCTGCTGCTGCTCCAGCTGCCTGCGCCTTTTAGCCTCCAGCACTGGATTCTCATACTGGGTCTTCCTGTTAATATGACTTTGGGATGGTGAAAGCAGGGACGAGCAGACAGAGGTATGGGATGAGTGACAGAGGGAGATGAATAATAAGAAAGAAAACAAGAATACAAAAGAGGATGTAGGACAAGAAGTGAATATCAGCGTGAAAGTGGAGCGCAACAGGGAGGGAAGACAGACAGAGAAGAGGAGGAATAAGAGAAGAGAGAGGGGGAGAGAAGGTCAAGAGAGGGAGGGGAGACATGGCGATAAGCTTTGATCAATAGCGGCACAATACACACGCATCCGTCCACACAAAACTCCTGTCTGAGACATGCACTACACAATCCCACACAGATCACGTCACATAAATCCCATTGTGATGATGGCTTAATTCACATCAACTACAAACACCTCTCATGTCACACACAAGCCCTGGGGGAGATTTCCTACTAAGCTACCAGAACCCAAACCAATGACACCTGAAAGCACCACATTATACAGCAAATGAGGGAAATGGTGAATAATGCATATTAGAAAAAAATAAATGCAGGAAAAAAATAAAAATGCTGTGAGCCTGCAAGTGCTGCTTTGAACATATAAAATGCATGAAATATATTCATATTAATGATGAATCCCAGGTTCTTCACACAAGATGAGATGCACACATATGCACACACCCACCACACGCGCTTGCTGCATGTTTTCCCAAATGGTAATGACACAAACAAAATGGCCCACATTTTCCAGTCTACAAAAGAGCGGAGGCAAAAATCATGCTGCTACGTCTTCCTGCAGAACCGTACATACATTAGAGCAGCTCCAATTTACAGTGAGGTCAGGAGTTTCTTTTGTTGAGACTGAAAACATGTGAGAGCATTCTACATATGTGCAAAAACAAAAAATGCAACAATTTCCTCATATTTCTGAATGCCTGCGTGCACACCGCCACCGTTCAAGCGTCCTTTTGTTGCACAGTGCACGTCACTTACTCAACATAGTAGACCCCATACACTGGATCGTCTATTTTCTCCCATCCTGGTGGAAGTTCTGAAAAAGAAGAGAGAGAAACACAATGAGAAAGTGAGACAGAGGAAACGAGGGAAACTAGAGGCTGTGAAGTAGCTGGAGGCCATCTATGGAGCCATTAGTGCCACGGCCAGTGGAGACCTTTTGCCTCCCCATTGTGCCTCCCTGTCAGTCAGTCTGCAGGGCCAGAGTGACTCAACAGCTTCACAGGCTTTCTGATTTACCTCCCCCACCCCAACCCGTCCCTTCACACTGCTGACATTTCCCCACATCAGATAAGAACAGAGCAAGGCCCCCCCTTCGGATCAGATGAATAAATGGATGAAAGGAGGTGGGAGAAAGGAGTGATGAGGGGTCAGAAAGAAGGAGGCACAGAGGAGAGAAAGGGGAGGGAGGGTCAGGTGAAGGTAAGAATGGGGGGAAACTACAGGAGGGAAGGATGAACACTTCAGGCTACATTCATAAAACTATGTTTTCGTTTGACAATGGCATTGTCAGAGTAAAAAGATCTTTGTCCACACAAGCGTTTAGGCAAAGACCAAGAGAGAGAGAGAGGTAGAGCTGAATGAATCTCATGAAGCAATTTAATGAAAGTATTGATCATTATGTGATGATCAGTGTTGATACACCGGAAGTGGTCTGGTGTGATCTGATCGCTATCTGATCCGAGTGCATTCACACCTGGATTTAGAGCTGTCCGCTTGTGGTTGGGACCACAAAAGCCACATGTTAATACCAGGCGTGTACGGAGCCTATGACTTGTCTGAAAACCTGCGTCATCCGAGGAGGGTGGCATTTTAAAGGAGCTGCTTTCTCAAAGTGACGTAAGAGCAAATGTGCTCGCAGGAAGAAAAAGTGAAATTCAGTCTAATTACCGCTGATTAGTAAAAAAGATATAAATATGACTGGGGGCCACTTAAGCACTGTGTAATTGCCCAATGGAGCAATCTCGTTGTGTTAGTGGTGTGTGCCAGAGAGAGTAATGCCATTATCTCCAACAGAACCATCTGATTCAGTTCTGTAGTCTGATTACAGCGGAATTGATTATTGGCCAGCCTCCGACTAGATAATGTCAGAGGCTTCTAATTGGTTACAAACACAGATTGTCCAATAATCCTCTCCTGTGATGTATACATTTTACATACTATTACCCTCAGCCAATTAGGCCTCACCCTGTGTGCGTGTAGATGGTAATTACAACCATCCAGCCTGGAGAGCCTCCCTCTGCTTTCTAATGAGGTGGGCCCTTGGTTGGAGTGGAGTCAGCGACAGAGGCAATAAAAATGCTGCTGGATGGGAAGGTTTAATCTGTCTGTATGTGACACACATCATACCACAGCCTACAGTGTGTATGACGGTTTGCAGCACTGTCAGTTATTTAGAGCAACCTAAAGATGAATCTGCAAACACAGCTGTCAATGTGATGCTTCAAATCAAGCTGCTATTATTCCATATTTCCTTCACCTCTTCAAAGTAAGAAAGCTCATGCAGCTGGAAAGCAATGCAAGGCTAGAGCTCTGGTGTTGTTATAACAGGGTGAACCCATGGAGCAGGCGTGGTGAATTTTCATTCAGATGTTTTGATCTGGAACATTAAATGGAAAGTGGTCCCATCCCGCCTTGTGCAAAAATTTTAATCACCCACTTGATTTCACACTGCACTAGTTCCGCTCCTTGAGGAGCACCAGTGTGTGTGGCGTCTGTGAATGTGTGTGTGAGAGAAAGAGAGAGCGAGTGAGAGCACCGAGAGGGTGTTTGGTGCTGCAACCATCTTGACAGCGTGGTTTACATTTCAGCATGTGGAAACACAAATGAGTGAGAGATCTGTCGCTCATCACACTGTGTTTTCTTCTTCACCCGTCCCCCTCCATTCACGTCCCACCTTCCTCTGCGTATTTTGAATTCCAGGGGAAGTCAAGTGTGAAGAATTACATGTTCAACTGTTTGCATCGCGTTCTCTTGGTACAGTGCAGTGATTGATTTCTCTTGAGTAAGCCAGTGCTACAGAGGGAGACAGACGTGTCTGTGTGTGTGTCTGTGTACACATATGTGCTGGTGTTCACAAAAAGTCCTCAGAGTGCTGAAGTTAATTGCGTTTTGTTGCCCACCTGTATTGTATTTTGCTGATCGATAATTATTGAACATGTTCATCCAGTCGAGGGTCTGTCTTATGAAGACAGGGGAGTGGTCATATCTGATGATAGCAACATGGCAGCGGTTTAAATGCCAATCAAAGCCAGCTTTTATTTCTCTCTTCCACTTTCATCTGTCTGTCGCTGGCAAAAATGGTTATTTTTCTCTGTAGGTTTCACTTTTCATATTATATCTAGCCATTTGTCTCATTGTAGATTTTAAAAAAATGAATGCAGCTTTTGCCAGAAATGAAAAAATATAATCAGTTATGATACATAAACAGGGTGGCATGAGTTGAAAGAATACCCTTAAAACCTTAAAAATCTAATTTTACAAAACTGAAATGATTGAATATCAAGCTGCCACACTAGTTTTCGAGGAAATGCCATTATCCCACATAACAATAGCAATATGCATTCATAAAAAGATATATACCTCAAGCTTCACACACACACACAGGGCTAAAGTAAATCATTAATCAGCTGTGTTCTCTGATGCAATGACGTCATTCATTAGCAGAACCTATTGGAGCAGGACACAGTCTCCAGACACCATTTATCCTACACAAGTGGCCACGCTGCTGTGTCTGATAGATTAGTTAGTGTCCTGATGGGAGTCGGGGAGGGAAAGGGACCTGTTGCTATCTGGCTCAGACAGACACCCATTAGGAAATCATCATTATAAGAATCTTCTCTGGATCAGCCATCATCTTTTATGCATGAAATGATGCTCTGTTGATGTGGGAGTGTACTCCGTGTGTGTGGCTAAGTTGACAGTTGCGTGTAAAGTCAGTTTTCCGTCTGCGCCACATACTGATGGTAGGCTAGATAAAGGTCATGCCTCTGATAGTATTATGTCTCGTTTCTACATGATTAGAGTCAATGTCATAGTCACCTCTCACCAACTGTCAGTCACGCTAGTGGTGGTGTCGTGGATGTGCGTATTAATTGTCGTCACTCCATTATCTTTAATTAACCATTTCAGCCTCAGCAACGTAACTTTCACTTTTGTTTTAAATGTGTGTAAACCAAGGTGACACTGTTTATGGGATGACATTTTAAATGCTCATGTACATGTAATAGGGTGGAGTAAAAGATAAGGTGCTTACCTAGGTCATTGTCCAGCTCCTCTGTGTGCACCCCCTCTGCTCAGAGAGGATGAACCCCGCAGCACCACAGGATCATTGGAGGAGCGAAAGAGAGGAGGGAAAATGTTAGTTAGATGCAATAATAACATGTGGCCACAGGGTGGCAAGAGTTAATCAAGCATGAGCCTCAGCCTCATGTAACGATCCATGTTGATAAAAATCATCAGGTTTGAAACAACAGTGAAGAGCTGATGAACAATTCTATTCAACCAGATTGATGGAATCATTAACAGCAATAAAACCATTTAGAAGTTTTAATTATGAACATGTCTGGATGTCTTACGAGAGGAATTTACATCTATTTGCACAAATCACACACTTCATTTAAATACTCCATGTATATCTCATGTGTCTGCATTACAGAGTGTATGGTCTCAAGTTGTTTATTTCCATCTGTAGGTTCCCCCTCAGTGTGCGTCTGGGAGAGCAATACTTTTTAGTGCTAGATGATGGAGCCATCACTCCTCAGAGCTGTGGGACAAACAGCGGAGAGAAGGAGCATAACAGAGCCGTGCCTCCTATTAACTGCTCGCCATTTTCTGTGACCCAACACCGACACCTAAGGGCCACTGGGGGAACCAGCACTGTGTGGTCATATCTGATTTTTATAAAATCACAACTTTATGAAACTAGAGACAAGAGAAGGTATCTCCTGTCAGCCAAACATGGCTGGGTCTCTAATTTCTGGTGTAAATAAAGGACTGAATACATGAGTGGAGTTGGAAGAGTACAAGGAAACCATGGAAACCATGGAATTTGAAAGGTTTTTGCAAGAACAAACATAAGGGTTATTATGCTGTCACGTAAACGTACCATCATCTTCACATTCTTCCAGGGGTTTCTGAGGCTTGTCCAGGCACCGAGGGTCTATCCAGGAGGTGGTTTTTGTATTGTGGCTAAACAGAACATACAAGAGTAAAATGAAATGGCCGTAACGCAAATACTGCGGGAAAGACATCTGTTAAAAACAGGCACATAGAGAGAAAGATGCTGACAGAAGCTAAATATCGTAGTAGAATTTTTAAATACAGATTTTCTGGTTTAACCTGAATCAGCAGATGTGAGGAAGTGGACCACTTCATCATTAACATTGAAACCAACAGCATTATTTGTGCTCGTGTGACATAACTGTTCCATAAAAACCTTCAATTGAGAAAAATATAAGGTGTTACAGAGCCGAGTCATTAATAGTTTTAAATAATATCTTCTAACACTGTGCATGTATCATTAAGTCTGACTTTATCTTTTTTAGAGTGTGTGTGTAAAATCGCTGCAGTGAAGGTAACTGCCCACTGTGCACTGGAGATCACTTGCAAAAAACAATTCACTTTCAAACTTCCATTTCCAAATGATATCCAGAGTGGAGGTTAGGATCCCACAGATGTGGGAAGTAATCGGTCCGATGGCTCTAAAAATATAAATAATGCACTGACACCTGTGCGTAATGCTGCCTAATGGATGCACTGGCGCTGATAGAGGAGAGCATGAATGGAAGGATGAGGAGGAGACGAGTTTTCAGAGATCACAAAGATGTTCCTGTTCCATGATGATGACTCATCAGTCCATTCTATAGATCTGTGATCTTGGAACTTTGTGCTGAATTGAGTCCAGTATTACACAGACCGACCCGACGGAACCGAAGCATCCCAGTACAAACACATTTATGGTTGAATGTGAGTGTAGAGGGCAGAATATGAGGCAGTATCACATACGCGTGTTTCCAGGTGGACTGTGATTTATAAAAGGAACATTGCCTTCCGGTGCGTGCACACAGTTTTATAAATCTGAATCTTTTTTTGCATACGCTGTTTATGGCTTTTGTGCGCACGTACACTTTAAGCATGAATCCTTCACACTGTTTTATAAAGGAGGACCCAGGTCACTGGGAACTGCTTTTATCTCCACAACTTTATATCTTAAAACTTAAACTGTCCTGAATCTTGTTCACTTACAGGTCTGACGGTAGATGGTATAATCCAAGTACACTACAAGAATTCCCTCCATTACCTTCACTAACTTTATATGTTCAGACTTTCTGACTTGTGTTAAAAGCCTTAATACTTTATCTAAACTTATACACTTTATATACAGAATTATATGTACACATGCATGCAAACAATTCTGTAAAAGATCACCTCTTTTGAACTGTCAAGACATTCAGACTTAAGACTCCAGTTAAAGCAGGGCCCAGCAAAAACTGCTTCACATGTAATAACAGACCATTTACAGTCTCGATCCCCTTACTCTATAAAGTAGACCTCCCCATTCTCGGTGTAGGCCATCTCCCAGTTGTCAGGCAGAGGTCCCTGTGGATCCTCCGGGGGAGGATGGCTCAGGTGAGAGTGTGTCTGCTGTGTGCTCTCCGTGATGGCCGGTGGTGAGGGGGTCGTCCCAGTGTAGGGCGGTTCACTCTGGCGTGGGATGTAGGGGCGCACCGAGTGATGAATCTCTTCAAATTCACTGGAGTCTCCTGGGGGGTGACGGGAAAACAAACATGGTTAAGTGTTAGGAACATTTTGCAGGCTGGGAACACTTTCAGGAACAAAATGTAGCTGTGACAACGATGTGGTGCCGCGAGAGGTGCCTTGATACATAATCGGCCAAAAATGGCTTTCACAGAAACTATTGCTTCCAATGCTAAAACAGCTCCATCATTAATTTGAGTGGATTTTCAATGAAGTTCCACTAAACACAGGATATATTTTAGCAAAGCTGCTAACATGACAGGCCGAAGAAATACATTTATGAGAGAAAGGAACTGTTTGAAGAGAATGACTAACGGTATTTCCATAGTAATTTCTTTTATTAATTTCTTTTTTTTATTTTCTATTTATATTAATAGTTTTAATGATGTTGCTGAATTTTTTTTCATTTAATATAATTTACTGCATTGCTGCGTATGGGTTTTCTATGATTAGCCAACTTTGTGCTTTTATTTTAAGTACCTTGTAACACTGGTTTTAAAAAGATACTATAGAAATTAAGTTTATTATTATTGCTATTATTATCATCATAAAGTGATTTTTTTCATTCACTGAATTCCTAAAATGTTTACAACAAGGTGAAAAATCCTTAAGCAGCTCAAATACTTTCACTAAGAGTTTTTTAAAAAGCCACATCTTGCCACAAGAAAGCCTCAGAACTCAATTCCTAAATGTTAACTTGTTATCTTGGACTAAACACTCCTCTGCTGCAGAATAAATCTGTTCCCCCTAAACCACTTCTCACAGCTAAATGGAGATGTTTGCTTCAGTTCAGGCAGTTCACACCTCACACCACGGCCTCTGAAGTGTGATCACCTGGCTTCCTGTTATCTCATTTCACACCCACACTTGACTGGCAGCTCTCACAATCCCAGACAGCAAATAAACAAATTTTGGTCCCACCTTGTAAAAACACATGGCAGAAACAGCTTCAGGGTTGAGGCAACCTTCTAATGCGTACTGACCCACTAATGCACAAGAGGAAATATTGAGAAATAACAGCAGTGAATCTGTTGAAATCCCCCTTTAAATAGCACCCATGTCACGAAAATGCTTGACATTGATAAAATAAATCCCCCTCTAACTCAAACAAATAGTAATATCATTTATAATAATTTCAGATACAGAGCTGGTTTAGTAGTCTCTGCTGCTCGCAGCCAGGTGGCACTATTTTACATCTCTGGACACATGGATACAGGCAGATGTAGTCAAACCTAGAAACCACTTACTCACCAATCAAAGAAGCTATTGTATTCTGCAGCCCCTCACACCTTCTCCTGCTCTCCACCTTCTTTGTGCTCCTTCTCCAACTTTTTCATTTTCTGAGCTTATCCCCCGTCACAAAACACAAACCTCCCTTGCTTGTCTGTGTCTCTGTCTCTCTCTCTGTCCAATCCTTTTCAGTCTTGCCCACTTCTCCCTCTCCCAGTCACTCCCCCTTTCTTTTTAATTTCCTGCTACCTTGTCTCCACTTCCATCAACTCCCACTTCATCCATCGCCACTCACATTCTCCCTTTTCCTTTCCTTCCATGCAGAGCCAGGATCACATTCTGGTGTTATACTCAAAGCTAAATAAAACACAGCGTGTTCTCAGGTTGCCACTGCAGACTAGCTCTGCAAGCAGCCGCCTGTGTGCTAACTGACTTGAGGTCTATTTACTTAAAAGGAGTCCACACCAGCTGAGAAAGCATGTGAGTCATGATGTAAGGAGTTAACATACAACAGCTATTATATTAAAGGGATAGTCAGTCACATGACTTCCGCTGAAAAGTCGCATGCTTAATTGTGAGAAAGTAGAAAAACCTGAAATGTTGACGAGTGAAGCGAGCTCGTCTTTACACACTGTGTTTGTTGATGCCAAATGTGGCGCCTTAGTTTGGCTGTTGCGTGTGCGAGGATGCCAAATTTAATTTAGTTTGGAGGCTGCTGCCAGCTTTGGGGCCTGTCTCGGCCTGGTACGCATTCTGTGTCCAAACAAAAGAAAAAAAATTGTCTAAATACATTTGAGATGGAATTTGTGAACACCGGGGTTCTTGAGTGAATTGTGCCTCCACACTCTCATTGTGAAAGTGCTCAACAAACAAAATGCACAACTGTGCTTAAATAAACATCTACAGAGGAGGAAATGTGCAGAGTGTTTGGTGCACCAGTGTAAAGACTATAGACAAACAACTGAGAGCCTGAGGGAGGTTCAGAGGTCATAGGCATAGTTGCACAACATAAGTGACAAATTCATGTAGCATTGTTTGTGTTGAATTTATGGTGTGGTAAAGCAACTATAATAATCAATTTATCCATCTGGTGTTCTTTTATATTCATTAGAGCTAGGGTTGGTAATCCTGAAAAAAGCTAGCAAGAGGATGCTACACTTCGAAAATATGCAAGATGCATCCCACCCTCTCCCATCGGAGCGCCACTAACAAAACACACACTACCTGACAACTGCTAGAAGCTATGACTAGCTATCCAGCTAACTTCTGACTATCATCTCTGCTTCAGCTGTGTTTGTCTTTCCAGCTGAAGATGCCAGTCGCACTTTGAGAGCACGGGCCGGCAGGTTAATGAAGCCATTTTCAGACGTGACCTCTGGGTAAAATCCATGTAAAGAGTTTGTCTTTCATACATGCACAACACAGTGGGAGGTTCTTTGCATAGACGAGTTCACAACAGTATCAAATCCTCTGTGTTATTCAAGCGAGAAGTTGAGCAGCCGGGTGCAGCAAGCAGAGACAGGAAGTGATGTATTAACTCAGTTGCGTAGATCACATGATCATGTTTACAGTACCCAGACCCCATCGTCAGCTCTTATCACCACGAACTCTCTTGACATCTTCGCCTTTGTCTTCTAACTGCGTGTCACAGCTTTTTTCACCACAAGCTGCGACATTTTGCGCCTGTTGTTTGTTAGAGGCGTAATCAACTCCCCCACTCAGTCGCGATTAATCCAGCTGGGGATCACCTGCTGTTTTCACACATCAACTTTTCCTGGAAATCTACAGACATCATACTAGGAGATCAGGCGGATAAAGTCGGCAGAAAAATAGTGTCTTGGACATTTGCGTTGACACATGCCCCTCCTCCAGAGAAAATACGGAGAATCTGTGGAGTCCAGTGCATGTCTGAAAGCAGCTCGACAGACAGGTCCGCCAGCCAATCATGCCAGACTTCATTTATAGATGGTTACCAGGCGGTAAAGAGGATTTCAACAGATGAGACAACTCATTTCAATAATTTCCAACCCTACCTTTAATTAAGTCAGAAACATGTATGCAGTCACAAGAGAGAACAGTCCTATAATATATCTACAAGTAGTTTATTGTGCCACACCAATAAACAATTATGTTTCACATAAAGAGATATTTCAACTATTTAGTGTTGTATCTGCATGAAGTTTGGGGATTTAAGAGACACAGATCCTGACTTTTCTCTCTTGTAACACTTAACATCATGTTAAACCATTTAACCTGTCACTTTACATCACAACTGAAATCCTCTGCTTTTGTCTGATGTTTGACATCTGAGAAAAGTTATTTTCAACCAAATTAAAAGACAAATTTCGCCGTCATCAGGGCAGTCTCACCGTTGTGTTATCATGTTATGCGCTTTCATCAGCTTGTGACTCTAGCATCAACTACAAACCACGAAGACATGCATTAACTCCACTATCATACATTATACTTTGTTCTCCTTGACGTCCAGACCTGTGCACGTACCTGTAAAGCTGCTGTTCATGTCAGGGAGGTCCTCGTCGTCCTCCTGCTGCTGCTCTCCGGGCCCTATTCCAGCATTGTGCATATCATTGTAGGACTTGGAACGTCGGGGAGTGGAGTGCTGCGAGCCTGGCAGGCTACCACTGAGCGTGTCTGGCAGTGGGGCATCACCACTGCTACCGCTACTGCTAATCACTTTCCCACCGGGGGGCTGCACCGGGGGCTTGGGCGTCCCATAATAGTTCCCTAGGCAACGGAGAAGAAGGCAGAGAGGAGGGGATTAAAAAAAAGACAGATAAAAGAAGGGACATTTAGCAGGAGGACAAGAGAGAAGGGGTCAAAGGTTGGTGTGTGTGTGTTGGAGGGGGTTTAGTCATAGCCTTTGTATGCAAATGGGGAAGCTGGAATTGTCTGTGGGAGAATGAGAATCCCTGAAGTTGAAGTTTCTTTCTGGTTTGGTCCAAATAAAGTTAACAAACAACAACAAAATTCAACACCAATTGCATTTCCTGCCATTTTCCACTATTATAACTCAATTTAGTTCATATTTTGTGAGTCAAAGTTGATAAACTTGGTTTTCACACACCACAACCAAATGTTTTGCATTCACTTACAAGGGCAGTGCTCGTCTAAGTTGTCTCAAAACATTTAGTGAAGCAGTTTGCAGCTAAATTGTTCTCCAACCTAACAATTTCAAAGGAACGAGCACCAAACATGCAAAGCTTATTTTTTCCCCCACAAAGAGTTACTTTCATCTAAAGTAAGGCTCGGCAAATCTGAAGAGACCGTTGCCATCGGAGAAACACAACATCAAGCCAACATCTTAATGAGACACAGAGCTATAAGCATCCAATATATAAAGGCAGCAGGGAAAAAACGAGCGTTTTACTCCGGCTCCAACTACAATAGATTTGTTGGCAACAGACTTCAAAATTTAAATCATGAGCAGTTCTGAAAATATTCTTTTAATGTCAAATCCAGTTAAAATGTTTAGCCTGGGCCAAACAATGAGGAAAAAATTTAACAGCCAATTTTTTTTCCTGAACCAACCTACTGCTGAAAAGAGACTGCTAGTCATCTCTCCAGAGGAGTCACAGTTTCAGTTGGACATGCTGGAGCAGAACATAAATCCTACAGTCAAATATAATGATAGAAATATTCAAGTGGGATGATTTAGATGTCAGTCATCCAATAACATAATAATGTCTAAAAGCACATGTTGAAAGTCGGTATATTCTTTTTTAATAACACCTCCGAACATAGACTGAATTATAACTGATTAAAAGCTGAAATATCACCCCCTTTTGCACCAGTGAGTCATTCCCTTTTTCCATCATTTCTGCTTTTTAGCACCTAAACACAAAAGCGAGCCAACGCTGGCTTTGGACTCTGAACAAAATATTTTAATTGTGCACCAAGCTCACTCGACTGATTTAATTAAGTGGCAAATACCAATGGGAGTCCAATTTTGTCTGATTTGTAACTTTGGTTTCAGCTTATTTGTGGTGGTTAGCAGCCAACAAATCTCTGCAGGATACACTGCCCCCCCTCTGATCTCTTGGATCATCCCACCTCATCTATGAAACCAGGTTCTGGCTCCATCTTTGAGTTCAGCACAGACTTGGAACTTAGAAGCATGATCTTATCAGACGAAAGGATTTTTTTAATGCACGTAGATGACTTTAGCTTTAGAGGAAGTAGTGAGCTTGTAGAAGTCCACTGGCTTTTGTTTGCTGCTTCTGTTTTGCTGTGCAAAATTCATTGTTATGGAACAGTGAACAAGTTAAGTGGACAGAACAGACACTTCGATAAACATTATCTGAGTGAAGGAAGGTGCTCCTTGGTAGTATCATTGTAAACAGTCCTTTAGTTTGGTTTATCAGCAGAGCAGAAGTGTTGTGTACTGTATGTGATGCTCAACCTTCTTAAACCGGTTTCAGACGTGACCTGTGGATAAAATCCGAAAGATTGGCTACGGAGTTTACCTAGAGGTTATTTCACACATGCACAAAACAGTGGGAGTTTTTCTGCAGATGCATTCACAACAGCAACAAATCATCTGCAATATTCAGGTGAAAGGGGGAGCACCCGGATGCTGCAGACAGAGACAGGGAGTGGCGTATTATCACTGTAGAGATCATGTGATTTTCTTGGCAACACAATGACACCTGTATCGCCTCTTATAGAAACAAACTCTCGTTTGTGTTTTCTACGTGTGTCGCTGCTTTTTTTTACAACCCTCCTACTCGCTCATGGTGAATCCAGCAGGGGATCTCCTGCTATGTTTACACATCGGATTCTCCTAGTTTTCTACGGATTTTATGCTAGGAGGCCAGGCGGAGAAAATCCGCAGAGACTGTGAAGCATCTCACTCACCCAACTGGTGTTTTCCAATATGTCCGAAAGCTGCTTTCAACAGCCCCTGTAGAGAGGAGGTAAGCATGTTGCTCTGGGCTATCTGACCTACATCTATGAAGAGGGCAAAAGCAGGTGCATACCAAAGAGAAGGGACTGGAATTTTTCCATTTCAGAAAAAGTACTCCATGTCTTCTTGCTGCATGGGGATGACCACTAAGCATGTGCACTGTGGTCGGCATGTTTTTGGTTGGAAGCAGAGCAGGAGTATGGCTCTCCCCTGCTGTGCCTGCACATGCACCTGTACAGAAGAAGGCTGACTGGTCTGGATGAACACAACAAGCTTGTTTGCTGATAATGTGGTGGTTCTTTTTGAAGAACTCAAACATTTTGCTTGAGTAAAAGTACAAATAAATAGATACAAATATACTCAAGTAAAAGCAAAAGTGTCCCATTAACTCCTTCTACTTGAGTAAAAGCTGAGTGTATGCTGAGTGTTCTTATTTATGGCTGAGTCTTGGCCTCTTCTGAATCCTGTTCAAGTGATTGTTCTTCAACAGTGACGCTGCAGCTGCAGGAGGCGGGTTTAATGTTACCTGCACACTCTCATTGGATCAGTGGACCAGTTCCACTCTCATTATTGATTACTTTTAAAAAATATTTAAAAAAAAACATGAACATGTAACCTAATGCATTGTAAAAATGCTGTGAAATGCAAAGTACGGATATTTACTGACGTGTATAGTGGAGTTAAAGTGAAGAGTGTCTGAAAATAAAGTAGACACATTTACTTTAGTACAGTAATGAAGTAAATGTACTTCGTTGTAGCCCACCGCTGCAATGAACCATGGGTGGGCCTGTGTGTTTCTGACTCTCACTAATACAGTCACCAGCTAAAAAATACAACAAAACCAAAGAGTTAACTTCAATGATGATTGCATGAGTCACATACAGATCGCAACACTCCTGGCTGGAGGTACAGAGGGACTTGTCTTGTCCCAATGAAGTTAAATGCTTTTCTACAATTTGGGTGTTTATTGACACAGACAGAAACAGTAGTAATTAGGGTCTGAGAGCTCCAGTGCACATGCATTTACAGCATCCAGTACCTTTGTGATATTAATGGGTTAATTTAGTTATTTTGACTCACATGTCAGAAAGTGCAACTAGATTATTGGTTAGATTATTGAAATATTTAACTTTTCCACATAGTCACTGTCCCACTGTGTGCCAAAATGCATCTGATGTTTAATTTTGATCCCTTATATTTCTAGATGTTCTTTAGTTTATTCTTATAGTTCCTTATAGATTTCAACATAATTCACATACTCTATTTTAGGTCAGCAAATTTTGCATGACAATAACAAAATGGACAAGCAAACAACAACAAAAAAAGTGCATTTTCCTGTTACTGCCTTTAAGTATTTCACCAAACATGTCTTTAGAAGAACTCAGATCCATCCTGCTGCTGCAACCGCAAACAATTCCTACCCTTCCAGGTATGAGTGTAGGGGTTTCCTAATAGCCTGGTTAGCAAACCCTCAACTATATCTTAAGAATTTACCTCAGCTAAGTTAATGTGTGAATTTATTATTTACCTTCATATGTTCCTATCTCCAACAGGGTCCCACTCTTTTCCAATTCCAGGAAGTCCTCCACTGAGAGGAAGTTGTAGTCCACGCCACTAACTTCTCCTTCGCGTGGGGCACGGGTTGTACCTGGAAGACAAAAATAGAGTAGACATTTTAAAAAATGCAATTTTCTTATAGAGTAGAGATACCAAATGAAAATAGGAATAGCAGCTATTTCTCATTCCTAATAGTAAATACATTACACAGCTCAACAGTGTGGTTCTGGAAGTAAAAATCCCATTCATTTTCTGAATAGAGGTTTTGCTTGAACTATCCAGTGAAGACTTATCACAAGCTATGAGATTTTAAAACAATGATATATGCTCCTGTAGAAGCCACAAGTCTGTATAATATGTCAAAGACAAATACTACACTATGCACACAACTCATGTAACCTCAGGTGGAAAATGTTTACCACAACGGCAAAAATGATGTCACCTACTACACTAGGTTACTACACCATGCTCTATATGAAACACCATATTCATACATACAAGACAGTGAGGACACAAATTACAACATATTGCAACACTATACTAACAACAAGGTTAATTAAAGAGCGCAATGAAAGTCGTTGGAAATGGATAATTTGCAATTGTTTATGGGATACGTAGTTCCTTCACTCTTCAAACAAATGTGCACACATACACACAGCTGGTCAGCCTGGTTCCAGGCTTAACACTACTTAAACTGGATTTTCTGAAACTTTAACAGGGAAAATAAATGGGACATTTACTTCCTGAACCAGAGCCGTTGTAAAAGTGGTTGTTTATGTTACGCCCATTTTCACACTTTCAAATTTTCCAGATTTACCAAATTAGACAGGGGATCACAAATAACGTGGTAATAAGAGCATCTCAGAGCATGTATTGCTCCACACTGACAGCAGGCTCTAGTAGGGAGATGATCCTTTGTTGCCTATGTGCTACGATCTTCCCTCACACTGGGGTAAAGTGTGAGGTAGTGTAGTAGCACTTGGGTGATCCTGCCATATGTTTGGGGTGTGAATGTGATTGTTTGGCATGTAGCAGGTGAGATTGGAGCATTTGTCGTCAATGGCTGCTGAGATTTGGCACGTGTGGCGTCAGTGGTGAACAGCTTTACAGCACAATGGTGAGATTACAGCACTGCAGACCCATTGTAAAAGTCACTTTTTTATTTTTTACATTTTCTTCATTCATTCATTCTTCTTCATTCAGCGTTTCTATTCTTTAGATTGCTAACTCACATTTTCCACACTTATCTACCACTGTCTGACAGTACTAATGTTCGCTTGCTAGGCATCTCACTCTCAACTAATCTAATTGTATCCTACTTCATTTCCTTTTCTGTCAGTGCCTTAAGAAACTGTTCAGTTTTATGCATCTAGACAGCGCCACTGAAAAATATCTTTCTCCTCTTGCTTGTTCTGATAGACATCTATTCAGCGACAGCAGAGGTCTTTCTAATCTTCTTGGCTTTCATCCATCTCTTCATCTACCTGTCTTCTCTCCATTGGGTTGCTGGTAAAAATAGATGAGTGGGGAATGTGGGGAGAGGCTCCCATTGCAGCCGCATTCACTGACACTGGTGATAAATCACACGTGAGGATCTTAACTAAAGCAAGCATGCATTACACGCAAGCGAGCATGCGACATATGTAGAGAGGCAGGCATGTTGGAGACTTCTGGGGACACTGAAGGTTTATACACAATATTCTTGACATGCATCAGTTCAATCAAATAACTGCCACAGTCTTTTATGATAACTCTATTTTGAGCTACTCAATGGATATAGCAAATCTTCGTGCAATGATTTAAAGCCCCCTTTTCCACTGGTCAATAAAACTAATATTTGGATTTTGTCTGTAGTGGGAATTGATGCAATAGGCATTCACTACTGGGGTCAAAAGACTATGCAGAAGACAGAGGTTTTTACTGGCTCCATCTCCGATCAACACTGATGGAAATATACACCCAAGGGAATACATCGATTTTTTTCTCCTTCTATATTTGAGCAGTCTAGATGCTGACGCTGCACTTATTCTGCGTGACATTATTACGCACTTTCAACTTCATGTAACACTGGCAAAACTGTGAGTTGAGAGGGCTTCTCAGTTTCTGGTGCATTTGTGACATCGAAACTCGCTGCAAAAAAAAAACAGGCAAACTTCCCTTCTGGCAATGGGAAAGGAGTCAGTCACCTTTTTAAGCAGGTTTACACATACAAAAAAAACTGTGTATTACCACTAATTTTGTAAAAAAGATTTGTGTAAAAGAGGATTAAATTGAGTATTTGCTCATTTATATGCCCAAAAATCAAGTGAAAATTGATTAAGGGTCTTGAAGTCTATTCAACAAACTGCATCAGGCTCTGAGTCTTTTACAGAATGTCAAACTTGGGGAGTCATCCACCTAAGCCGAGCCTTCAGCCAACTGTCAGCTCACTTCCCACACAGAAGCCTCCATTGATTCAACTCCATTTGCTGCTCTTAGAAAACCAAACAGGAAGTGGAATTGTGACTGGTGTTTCAACGGAGATACAAACGCAGAGGCCTGGCACAAAACCAGGAGTGAGACACTGTCATTGCTATAGGCCTAATTAATTCAATAGCCCCTTCCCCACAAAAGCACCATTGACTAGGCTGTGAAATAGAGTTTCACAGTAGTTGAGAGTTCGTCACATGGACTCCGGCCTGGAGTTGGGATTGGGGGAGCTGAACGACAACTCTTCAGAATGTTGACCTCTAACATGCAGACAAAGATGGAGAAGAAGTGAAGCTACCAAGGCAAGCAGGAGGAGCATAATCCTGCAAATGGCACACACAATGAAGCCTGGGAGATTTTCTGTGAGGGGGTTCGTCTAGCGCTGGCTGACTCGTGGCTTAACAGCTCCAACATCTTCACCAGCTGAGATGGATGGGTGGGCGTTGTATAAAAAAAAAAAAAATATCATTAGCATTTCAAGAAGATGATCAAGGATGCAAGTGTCGAGTTACTGGCAGGCGTACTGTAGTGTGGGGAGCTTGGAGCCGCTACAGCTGCATCTAAACACATACATGCCCACAAAAACAGTAAATTTACTGTAGCTTGTAACTGTGTAACACACCACAATCCAGGATTGTATGTTCTTCTCACAAATAGATGAGGGAAAAAAAACAAAACTGATTTCTCAGTGTTCATGCATCATGTCACTGGGTTTCAGCTGTTGCTAGGGACAACCCAGCAAGGATCGGAAATACAGAGAGAGATGTGGGGAAGCAACATGAAGAAGTTTGTCCTCCAGTGATGATGCTGTCCTCTACATGGTCTCCTATGAGTTCACAACACCCTTTTTAATTCTACAACAGAAATATAAAGAAGCACAGAGGTGTAGCTCAAAGGCCTGGTCTATATGAAAAAGCATAAATGATGCATGCAGGAGGAAAATGAGGGTTGGAGAAAACAGAAGCAGAGAGAGGTGAAAGCGAGAAAAATACACAGAGCAACATTTACATGGAGTGCAAGGATCGAGACAGACACATTTTCATTAGGCTTGTAGTCAGACTAATTAAATGGTGTTTGTAATAGTGAGGCTTGGAAACCATCAAGAACCAATGTTTTTGAATGATGATCAAGCTCAGTAGACTATTTCTGTAAAATACAGAACACAACCTGATGAATAAATAACTCACTTCCCTTAATGTCACATCATCAGAGTTTCCCTTTCATGTTGACTCAGTTGTAGGGCTCGGCGATATGACTTCAAATCAATATCATGATTATTTCAAAGTTTTACCTCAATAACTATTAATGAACGATTATTTTATGACACACACACCCCACCCCCATGGAGCGCATCACTCTGCACATTACTCAGTGTTGGTCAACAAGCAACTCTGCTCCTCTGCTCTTTTCTAATCACTCACACGTAGAACTGATCTTTGTAAAAACCTGTTGAATTCATAATTATGTGTTCATGGATAAATGGGGCTTTGCTTCTTGTGCAACAATGGAGTTAAAACACTGCGCTGAGTCATAATCTGCAGGAGGAACTTCTCTTCTGTCTGCAGGAGTGTGTGGCTCCTTGTCCCTGTCTTCACACAAACTGACGATCACAATATTTAGTTATTAATAGAAGATGTTGGATCATGAATCTAAATAATATTAACTTATATTAACCGAAATAAATTAGGTTGGTTAGAAGTAATAAATGTCAGTTTCAATACATTTTTGGTTAATTGCCAAGCCCTACACAGTTGCTTATTCTTATGCTTAACGGTGCAAATTCTATAAAACACTGTGCTTCAAGACATTGATCTTTCACACATCAGCCATGTTTTCCTTCTGTAAACATCTTCATATATAAAATGATGTGTCTTTGTTTTCTAAAACAAACTACATTATGAAAAAGGGTCCAACCAAACTAAACGTAGCTTACTTCTTTTCAATTTACCAAGCATCTCTAAGAAATTCCTCCCAAATTGTCAAAATATTTGACTGAAAGCAGGAAAACTTCAACGATGACTCATCACTACAAGATCTGTATTTGTTGGAGGGCCTACAAACTCATGTTTGATATCAGTCAAGTTGCAAATGTTAAGTAGCAAGAGAATTAGCCTGATATCATTTGAATCTCTGTAGAAGAACAGCAGACAGTAGGGAGCCAAAGTGTATCACTCTGCTGCGGATCTTAAGATAACATTTTGTGAAACTGCCATGTTTGTGGCATACTAATTTGGTAACACTCAAAATTTGAACTGCGGTGAATCAGCAGCTTAAAATGAGCTCAACACATCCGTTGCTTGTGTCACTCTCTCTCATCTATCCTCTCATTCGTCCCCTCACACACACACACAGACACAAGGCACAGTCCAACGCTACTTTTTCCCTTGGGCAGTCCAGCAGAGAGTTGACTCAGATGCCAACAGTCACGCAGCGAGTGTTATGACTCCCGCGTATGTGCATGTTTGGCATGCACATGTACATGTAAAGAGCTTGTAATGGTACAAAAGGGTTGGGATGGAAGCACCTTATGTTACAATCAGCAGCTGTTGCACAAAACATTTGTGACAGTGGGGAGGAGGTGCATGGCCACCAACATGGTTTGTGTCTTAACGAGAGCTGTAG